TATGTTATTTTAATTTTTATTTTTATGGAATATTTTCCCTTAGTGTGAATTATAAGCAATAGTTTGAGCCGAAAGGTCTCCAACTTGTATAAGTTTTGTGTTTTTTTTAAAAATATGTTACAATGCACGACATTGAAAATAAAGGCAGACAATGTTTTATGAATTATGTTTCGATGTCACATTACCTGTTGTAATTTAAGAATGACTGTACTTAATAATTAAAATGCAAAAAAAGTGCTTTTGGGAGAAAAATTAAAGATATTTCAATAGAGTGCGTTAGTTTCGCATAATGATAGATATAAGGTGCAAATAAGTTCCACGACAGCTGGTTCTAAGTTACCGGAACTAACGAGGATTTTATCCAGCCAATAGTTGTTCTTTCTGCGACCAAGCGCTGTTTAGTTCCCTGAGTGATATATTAGGTTAGGTTACTCGGATGGAACTTATGGGGAATATCAATAGCTTCTGTAGCTTTACTATCGTTACCTCTTTCACTATCTCAGAATTGGGCTTCAAGTGTTAACGAATGATTTCGGAGGATATATACAGAATATTGGTAAAGAATACTATAATTTATAAATGAAACTATTTGCTTATTTCTAAATTTGTAACTATAAAACTAAAAAGCTTGGCATATTTGGTTGATGGCTTGTGCAACTTCTTCTCCACTTAATTTTTGGGGCACACGATTAATTGTAGATTGCGCAATAAATCTGAAAACTCAATTCGGAGAAAGTGTATAATAACTTGCAGTGAGCCCATTACTGATCGTGGCCGCCAACGCGTGCTCACGCTGTTAGTTTCTATTGACACGCTCATGATATTATCTCCTTCTTGTTTAATATTTCGTTTCATCTTCACTTACGGTTTACTATGGGTAGTAACTCATGCGCGAAGCCGGCGGCTCAATGGCACACCTATATTCGACACAAGTTAACGGTGTACTAACTGTAAGGCTTTAATTAAGTGGTCAGGCCAATATATACATACTTTACATAACACATATCTTTGTCAGTATAAAATTGTTTATAAATTGAAGCTATCAGTACACTATATACTACAATGCTATACCAATATCAAAATAAACATATAAAAGAAAGTTGTGTTATATATTTATAACTCAAGAATGGCTCAACCGATTGGGCTGAAAATTAGTGGAGGTAGCTTAGAAGCAGTGTAAGGGCATAGAATACTTTTCATTTCTTTATGTTAAAATTTAATACAACTCGTAAATAGAAGAGTTATATTTTATACCATAGGAATTTTTTCAAAATTTCCTACAAATCATTTGAATATATGCGTACAATTTTAAGCAGATTCTTCTTCAAAAATAATACAATTGCTAGGTATTTGGAATAGTGAAAAAGAACTGCAACCAAATACGCAGTGAAATATATTATAACTGTCTCACTAATCAGTCGTTGAGTTGTATTATACCACGTGCATCCCAAAAGACTGATATCATATCCTTTCCAGCCGAATGTTTCGTCTTTGCACGCCTGAGAACAGGTTCATCAAGTGCAGTCCACTAGAATGACTGTCGATTGGATTCTAGTGGGAAATGATGGAGCTCTGTTTCTATCAGCGACAAAAATATTCGGTTTTATTCCGATGGGAAAGCACTCAAACACTTGCGAGTCCCCCACTTTGCACAGAGCATTCGCCTCTTTAGAGCATCACTGTTCTCGTTGCTCATTTCGCCTGTTTCCAGCTGAGCAAATATCTTTTACACGGTGGATTTCTTTGAGCCCAAATTGCACAGTATTTTTCCCAAAATGTAATACTTTTTTAATACACGAAATGCTTTATGATCTATGTTTTTACAAACTAACACATGTTTCTTCTCAAAAATTTTATATCTCATTAACTAATAATTATAATCTAACTAATAGAAATCATATATATGGTAGTAGTAGTATTATTTATGTATCAGCCACACTGAAGCGTGGAGGGGTCCTCTAGTATTATATATATTATTGTATCCGATCTTCTTTTCAAGAGACCATGGAGCGATGCGATGTCGTTGGGGAAGGTCGAACGACATCAGCTCCAGCACAAGCTGTATTTTGTATGCTTACAATTTAAGATCTAGTAGTAAAGTGCGGCAAGTCGTTCCAATGTTAGTCCGAGTTGCCACGAACGGCGCCGAATCGACATTCCATTTCTGTACACTCTCAGCTACGGCTACTATATTTTCTTTACTGCGCGATGGACGTTTATTCATGCTGGTTCTCAAGATGGATGATGGTGTTGCGAATAGTACGCGCACTATGCCGTTTTTTTTTTTTTTTTTTACCATAAGTTGAGCGCAGCACGTGAAAGAACTTCTTTATAGAACGTGAATTTTCATAATAAAGTTGAATAATTTATAAACGTTGTTCGGACGTAAGTCTTTCCTTGATGAAATCTTAAACTATACTGAAAATAGCATTGCAGTTTGACACGACTCACGCGTGGTCTTTGATTTCACTTACATATTTTAAGATGCGATTTGAAATAATGTAACAAAAAGATAAAGCGCTACGTTCCCACGCATACGAAATTTGCGAAAATTTACCTAAATTCTGAAAAACCTGTAGTTTCAAGCATCAATCATAAAAAATATCAATATCTCACTGGAGTCATCTGCATAAAGCATAAAGTTAGCAAAAGAGAAACCACTGGAAATGTCGCTGATAAACAGTATAGAGAGAAGGGGACCTAAAACGCTTCCTTGTGGCACTCTCGTTGACGCAGTGAAATCAACAATAACAGCACAACGTCTATTGTGCAAATATGACTTGATCTAGGAAGACAGAATGAAAACCTAAACCTAAAGAGAATAAATTTTTAATTGGAATATTGTGTGGAACTTTGTCAAAGGCCTTAGAGAAATATATACAAACACAGTCTACTTGAAATTCAGCAGAGAAGGAAGACATGCAATAATCACTAAAAGCAGCTAAATTCGTCAAAGTGGAGCGTCCAGAAGCAATCGTATCCTGAAAAACGTGTATGATTGATTTTACAGCAAAAAATATTTTACTTCCAAATGAAAAAAACAAATATGACCTGATTCGCTAAAAACAACCGAAATGAGGCAATTTTTTTTCCATTTTCCGCTACGTTTGAGAACACACAGAAATTTGTAAAACCATTATAACTGAAAAGTAAGGGGGAATTCCAAGCTTTTGACCACGAAGATGTAAAGGTTTGATTCAATATAAATAATATGACGCCAGTATTTAAATAAAACTACTATTCACCATTGGCCATCTAACCGGAGAAACATATGTGACAAAAATAATTTAAAAATTGTTTCCTTTTCCCTAGTGATGGGGCTGTCATCTACTGCCTCTTGAAAAAAACGTCCTTGTTCGCCAGTAGAGCAATTTATAAGGCGGCCTTAAAAGTGGTTTATGTCTTCACTGGTTTGAGTCTTCGGGCATGCGGTTGTGAGCTAGGTTGGCAGTTGTCTGGCTGCATACTCTTGTTCTTAGAAAAGTAAAAACAAAAGATAATGTGGCAAAAAAGTTACTATTAGCAACCCCATACCCTACTTTTATATCTTTTATTATAATTATTATTGTTACTTTTTTTAAATAAATGTTAATCAATAAGTATAGTAAATACAAGTAGAGAAGACCTAAGCTCGGTTGCAACCGAACATTTCATACTATTGCAAATTGTAAGAATCAAATACATGTTAATACCTATATACCTATATACATATATATGTACATATACTATATATAACTCACTTAGAGGATAGAGTTATGTGTAGAAGTTCGTGTAAGTGAGGAAAGTTCACTGATCGCCATTCACTTGGGAGTGGCCAGAAATGATTCTTTTACATTTGGCTCAATCGGCTCACGACTTCCGGTCTTTGACCAAGTATCCTATGGGTAATCTAAGAACATCCGTTTGAAAGCGAGCTAAAATGAGAAGGCGAATCAACGACTCCGCAGGGTTGTGCGCTGGATTTTGGTACCCGCCTCGTAAAAAAATGCACCAAATTCGAACTGCATATCGTAATGAAGCAATATTTATAAGAGTGTACAGCTGCTGGCGTATGCCGATGATATTGATATCAGCGGCTTCAACACCCGAGCCGTTAGTTCTGCTTTCTCCAGACTGGACTAGGAAGCAAAGCAAATAGGTCTGGTAGTGAACGAGGGCAAGACGAAGTGTCTCCTGTTATCTCAGATCACTGTTGCCAGTCATAACTTTGAAGTCGTAGATAATTTCGCCTATTTTGGAAAAAGTGTAAGCACCACCAACATTGTAGACCTGGAAATCTAACACAGGATAACTCTTGAAAACAGGTTCTACCTCGGACTGAGAAGGCAATCGGGAAGTAAAGTTCTCTCTCAACGAACAAAAACAAAACTATTCTCTCGTTATTCTCGTCTTGCTATATGGTGCAGAAGTATGGACGATGACAATATCTGACAAGTCGGCCTCAGAAGTGTTTGAGAGAAAAGTTCTGCGAAAGATTTATATACTATACACTGTATTTGATTAAAATCGGTAAGGTGGATGCCGAGATATGTGGTTTCACCCAAAAGTGAGTTTGAATGAAAATAAGAGAGCGTGTTTTACTCATTATAGTGTATTTTTTTTGCCTAACATGCACTCAAGTCTTCTAGAGTTTCATTGAAGACATTGCAAATTAAAATCTATTAGTGGTAGATCCACTGATTTCTGTCTGATTTTAGGATAAGCCAATGGTTCCAGTACATAGGGGAATTCCTAACAAATGTGTGTACAGATGAACTAGCCAAAGCTGACATTAACCTGCAATTAAACTCTAATAAAGAAGCTTAAGCTTTTTTAAACTTACTTAAAGAATTTTTACATTCAAATCTCATATTCTTACCGACTCCGTCATCGCTCACCTATGCAATCAGTTTGAATGTTAACTTCTTGTGCTTTGCTTTCTACATTCTCTCAAGATAAAATAATCATAATAATTTCAGAATCTCTTTTAAATTTTTGTTTCACATTTATATTTAATAATTTATTCATTTATTCTTTTCGCTACCTTTCAGGCATTGATCTCTGCACGTTTAAGTGCAATCAGAATTCTTATAATTATTATTACTTTTTGTTGTTGTTTTGGTGTACTTGTAAAAAATTCAGTACGTCTTAGTAAATAATTAAATAATGTTTTCAGTGTCAGCGCCAAGGGGACTGACATCAAGAATGCTGTACATTAAAACAAATTTTGTTGTGTTCAAATACAGATGTATATATTAGGGTGTGACACTTTCAGATTTTTTTTTTCAATTAAAAAGCAGGCAAAAACTTTCAAAAAGGTAAAACAGGAACAACGTGAGTATTTGATATTAATATTAAAGGGTTACCCCTTTTCCTAACTTTTCATTTTCTATTTATGTGGCACGAAATTTTTTCTACCATGAACATTGGTTATATTAAGTTTTAGACGAAGGAAGAAAGATCAGAGCAACAAAAAAAATTCTGATAACACAATGAGCTGAAAATACGGAAAGCTGGTTGTACAAAATAAAGGTAAAATCTCAGAAAAATTGTTCGGATCCCTGTAGTATACAGCAGCCATAMAAACTGACCAACAAAATTTTAGCACTTGCAAGGAAAACTTTTGTGTTTGACGAAGGCAACAGTATAATCTTCGAAAAATTGTTCCTATAGAATCACTATAGCATATAACTGCCATTGAAAAAGATTGGTCGAAATCAAGTTTCTTAAGGAATGTTTTGAAACTTGTGAGAACATTTCAAAAATTAAATAAAAATTATTACCCAAAAATGACACACCCTAATATACATAATTTTTTATGTGTGTGTGGCATTTTACAGATCTTGTTACATTTACATTCGAATTTTCCATAAATAAATTATATTTTATTACCATAATGTACAGCAATACACAGGCATGTAGCGACAAGGGCGCATACACATACATAAGTAAGTATTGCCTTAAGTAAACATTGAGCACATTCAAGAATAATAAACACATTGAAAGTGTTTTCATTTTCACACCGATTTTTCGGTTGAAATGATTTTGCTTTAGATTTGCATATTTATTATGGATGTAGGTTTATGTAGTACTGTGGGCAAAAAATGGTAAGACTTATTATTTTAATTTTATTTCAGGTTTCTATGACTTCTAGTGTTTAGTATCCGCTTTTCTTTCCGAAGTAAATCAAGAGCATTCGGCGATTTTCACAATGAGTGAAATGACTCAACAAAGAATTTTCAATAAATTTTGTCTGCGGAATCACATTTCTGGTGCCGAGACGTTCAAAATGTTGGAAAAAACCTTCCGTGATAATTGTTTGTCGTGTACCTTTGTTTGGTACAAATTACTCAAAGTGTTTCAAGAGCGCGTTGACGAAGAACCACGTCCAGGACGGCCATGAACATCAACCAATGCTCAACGCGTCGATAAAGTAAAGTAATTGTTGCTTCAGAATCGACGATGGAATATCGGAGGGATCAGTGAAAACCATTTTGCAAAATAAAAGTGGAAACACGGTTGGTTCCACAATCACTCAATTTTTCCGAAATGCGTTGCATTGACGTCCGTGGAACAATGCTTTCCGCGCAACAGAATATCATGAAACGTATTATTGCTGGCTATGAGTCTTGGATCTATGCTTACGATCTGGAAACAAATGATCACTTGGCCTTATGTCGTGGCAAAGGTGAGCCTAAGCCGAAAAAGCAACGTCAAAGCAGGTCAAAAATCAAGTTTTCTTTGACTAACAAGGTTCGGTGAATCCGAGTTCCTTCGGACTGACCAAACTGCCAACAAGGAAAACCATTAATGGTTTAGACGTCGTTTTCTATAAGATTTTCGTACAAAATTGGAGAGTTATGAGCCGACAACTCCTACTTTCTACACCACGATAATGCACCGTCGCATACTGCATTGACTCTTCGTGAGTTTCTCGCTAATTTTTCAACCAATATGCTGCAACCRCCGTATTCAGCTGACTTACATATATAGCTCCATGTGACTTCTGGCTGTTCAGCATACTCAAATGAAGGCGCCGGGGAAAACGTCAAGTGAATACATTAAACATGAATTTGCTACGTGCATTGAAAGTTATTCCAAAAACTGACTTTTACAACTGCTTCGAGGATTGGAAAAAGAGTTGGTCCAACTGTATTGGGGCTAAGGGAGATTAATTTGAGGGTGACCATACTAATGAAGTTTTGAAGAAAGTATTAATCATTTTAGAATTATGAACAAAGTCTTACTATTTCTTGCCCACAGTAATATATCTACCAAATATATGAGTGAGTGAGTGTATATGTATATATTAATATTTGCTTGTGTTAGTTTAAATTCTTCAAGTTAATTTGTATACATTATGCATTTAGAACAACATTTACTCTCACTAAAAGCCTCTTTCTTTCCCAATGGTATTTTGCGAAAATACGCCGTCGTCGCCGGCCGTCGCTTCCCCTGGGGGTGCGCGCCTCACTGCGTTGGTTTCTACGCTGAAAAAGCACACAACTTGCCTATTTGGCTGGACTGTTTGCTATGGCACATATACATGTATATATAGGATGTATGTGTGTGTGGTCAATACGTGATGCAACTACTATGTATATGTATGTATGTATATATTTAGAAAAAATCTTTACAAAAATAATATACATTCATATTATAAAAAAGTTTTTTTGGCCCACTATGAAAGATGTCGATATACTTATACATATATGTATATATAAAATCATAATCAGCCACGCCCACTACCGCACAAAACAACTGCTCTTGCCTATTTAAGCTTATTGCACGCGCTGTTTTATCACATTCCCCTCCGCAAGCGTGACATCGCCCTTGTTCATTCAGTTCGTGTCACCGCTCATGTGATTATCAATAATCAGCTGTATCACACGCAAGCAGTCGCGTTGCCGCGCCGCCGTATTGTCCACCAACTGCTCAATGAATTGGCTATAGTCGATGCTGGTGCTGGGCGGTATATCCTGTGTGCACGATATGTACTTGTTGAATATGTCCGTATTGATGGAGCTCGCCGGATAGCTTTGATCGCGTTTCAATAGTTCGCTGAGCGATTGGGCCGAGCTCAAAAGTTTGTCTTTGTTCTTTTGGTAAGCATTGATTTCTTTGAGATTTGCATAGTCAGCGCTACTGACTTCCACCGTGTGTGGCGGTCCGACGCCTTTGCCGGCCGCCTTATTCAGTCGCATTTGATATTTACGCTCCGACACGAAATTGCCCAGCAAATAGCCTGTTGAAAACAATTTGAGCTTAATTTCATAAGCCAACGTAAAAGCAAAGCCATAAAGACTCTTAATAATGCTAAACACATACTCACCCAGTATGAGCGTCAGGAAGGCGATTGTGAGCACGAGACTGACGCAAGTGCGTTTGGTGACATACTCGCGGAACTCGCGGGAACTGTTGGCACGTACAGCGGTCTCATAGCTCAGCACTTGATGCATCTTTCGTGGCTGGTAATGTGATAGCGCGGTCTCTGTGGATATCTATATGTTGTTGTTATTTTTTCAGTTGTACCTCCTTAAATATTGCATGAGTTTATGTCGGCGTATTAATGTGCGCGTGTTACGCATATAATTTTCTCAGCGAATGGAATATTGCTAGTCATTTTGCTTCATATTTTTGGTAACATGCTGACGGTTGTTGCGAAACAGGAGCTTGATTATGCTGAAATCTGTAATTAAATATTAAATTACATTAGGATTTCATTTTAAAGACAAGCTGTGAATTTATGCCAGAGTAATGTGTTAGTTAATGCAAAGCGTATACATATTGTAGTAGTTAAATAATTTGGAAGCATTTCATCGCCGGTCTCAAGGAATTAATTGGCCAGATGCTTCATATTACATCTAGAACAATTATAATCAGTTTACAATTACGATTCTTCGACTTTCTGATAATAATCTCTTGTAGCGTCAGCACATAAATCTAGAAATAGTTTACTATTTATAATATTTTTTCAAAAGATGTCTTTACAGATCATGTCATGTGGAATTGTATAAGCTCGATCGGGTTATGCTATACAACGTAAGAAAGATAAGATCTCGAACTGAACACAGCTATTAACATAAACTAAAATTTACAAATTAAGGCGTCTGTGAGGTAATCTTTTTTAATGTTTTTTTTTTGCATTTTCTGTTCCTTATATCCTCAGAACTAATGCATGAACCAACTTTACCGTTGGAAGGTTTCGAAAAAGGCCCAAAAATAATAATACAGCTCGGCATTCGGCGCCCTCGGAGTGCACACCTCAAACTTTAAACGCGTTTTTCTCAAAACATACTTTTTAAACTGGTGGACAGGAATCCGGTCGAACTACTCAACCGATTTGCTTCTTTTTTTTTTAATGTTCACAAAACGCCTGGCTATCGTCCCTACTATTTAGATTCATAATTTTTTATAATTTATTGGCAATGTTTGGACAAAATTTATGTACAAAAACATGTAGTAAAACTAAAAAAACAAAAAACGTTAATTACTATTTTATTTATCAATATTTTTTCTTGATTCTAGTAAGGACGATAAGCATTCCCGTACTTTTTAAGAATAAATTGGGTTTTTGTGTTTCAGATAGTCCAAAGCTGAAAAATCATGTCCGGCAGTGAAAAAACGCATCTCATTCACCCAGCCATTTCTTCAACAGATGTCATCAAAAAATTCCGAAAAAAAATTCTTTACGCGATTACCTCATGATATGTGAAAAAAGTTCTATTGTAGAATAAAAATTTCTATGAAATAAAAATGTCAAAAAAACAGGCCAGAGGCCTTAAGTAAAAAACTCAAGCCATGCGCCAGAAAAATCTAGATATTGTTTCGCGTCCTGATAATGTAACAGCGAAAAATGCGCCATTTTGGTATGGATGTTTTTCGAGGATGTTAATTGAACAGCGATGATTCGCAATCGCCCAGAAGTGGCCAGCTTGGGCAATAGGAAAGGAATTGTGTTTCTTAAGGACAAAGCAGAGCAACACATGGATAGTGACTCACCAGGAGCTAACTTGAGGAGTTCTCGTACATCAACCTTATAGCACCAATTTTGCGCGAAGTGATTATTATATGTTGTTGTCTATGGCGAATGATTTTCATAGTGAAAAATTTTCCTAGAAATTTGTGAAAATCAACTTTCTTAGTATTTTCAGTTCAGTAAAAACTAGATCTCATATATATACCTGTATTTATAGTGTAGCCAGAACAACATCTCATGAGTCGACGTTATGAGTTTTCGAGAGACGGACGGAAACACTCCAGCTGTGAAAGTATTCGATGCAATACCTGGAGGGGGAAGCAGACCCCCTCGGTGGCTAAGACCAGGTGGAGAAGTATTTGGCTGCATTTGAAATATCCAAATGACGCCAAACAGCAAAAAGGAAGAACTACTGTCGCATTGTTATAACCAGAAATGTTCGAAACTATTACTCCAAATATCTAATAATTTCATTAAAACCTTGAAATTTGGATTAAGTAGTTCTCGATACTGCTAAATGGTGAAAGCACCAAAAAACTACAGTGTCAATATTATCGTCCCGCCATTCGCCTCTGAGAACAGCTTTCGGACGGCTTAAGATATCTTCGTGGTTACCGGCTGAGCTTTTTAAATTTGTTTGATTGAAAATTCCATTCTGTTCGACAACTTAGCATCATTTTTCCCGATTGTAATGTTGTAGGAATCATTCGCAAATGTAGCGATTGTGCGGTTCGGCGGCATAGGCATTTCCCTAGTAAGCAAAATATATACTGTGGTTGTATGATGTGGTTCCTTGGGATAATTGTCCCATTGCTTGATTCTAAAGTAGCGGTTGCTTATAAAAAATAACTCTCAAATCTTTCTCCAGACTGGAAGAAAATGGGTCTGGAAGTGAATGAGGGTAAGACGAAATATCTCCTGTCATCAAACAAACAGTCGTCACAATCGCGACTTAACGTCCCCGGCACTGTAGACAGTCACAACCAGCATTAAAAACAACAACAACGACAGGCTCGAAATCCAACCCGGAATAACCCTTGTCAACCTTCGGACTAGGTAGGCAAATGACTCTCGACGAACAGAGGCCAAACTCTAAGTAATTCATAATCCCCGGATATATGGTGCGCGGACATGGACGATAATAACAACTGAGTCGGTGTACAAGTTTTCTAGAGAAACGAGATATATTACGACATTGACATAGTTCAGCGAATTAAAAGTCAGTGGCTCTGCAATTGGCATCAAACAGCGAAAAGGAAGAACGACTGGTGCGCTGTGGAACCCGTTTTCAGTCGATCGCAAAAATAAAACAAAACTCGCTGAATGAGCTGAGACCCAACCCACAAATACACATATCATATCGAGGACTGGAAAAATCTTGGGCAACAAAATAAATATTGCTGAATAATTAAATATTTTGCGTTTTATTTACAAATTCCGGGTATCTTTTTGTCACAATTTATATTGTCCATTCCACAAATTTATCAGAAATAAGTGAGAATTGCCTTCAATTAAAAACGGCGACATCGGTTCACAATTTCATCTAATTAATAACGATTGGATTGATCCTCTTGTTTTGTTTATTGACGCCCGCATAGTATTCATCATATCCCCAGGCGCATTTCCTTCCTATTCCAAACTAATTTTTCAATATTAAAAGCCGTTCCATATTAAGCTAAACACACCAATATTATCTAATTCGGAAGCAAGGCACCGACACAATTATTAATTTAATATATTGACACATAAATCGATATCTCATGTGATGAAGATTTGAACAAAATTTATTAGTTGATTTATATGTAGACGTGTATGTAGAGGAATATTAAAATAGACACAGATACATTGAAAAGAGCAATAAATGAGGCGCCTTAATGCTGAAAGCGCAAGCTGCTTTATGGCACAACTAATTCAAGCGACGTTTTCCGCTCACGCACTTTTCTTGCAATAAAAAGTATTATACATAAAGCGAATTATTTAATAGCTCCCATAAGCGAACAGCAACGGTTGCGATGGCACCTAAACTATTAAGCACCGAAGGGCAACAAAGAAAAGTTTTGCATAAACTTCGAATCATGAAGACGCATCACCCAAGCGACTGGAAGAATTATGAAGCTGCAACTTGCGACCCTAAGCATTTAGCACTCTCCTGCAGCCACAAGCAACACGTCGGTGCACTTAAGCGACGGCCACTTTCTCGCTGATTTAAAAGTAACACAACTACATGCATACAGACACACGAACTACAGGCATTATGAAAATCTTGCATTGCCGGTGTTTGTCGTGGCAGCCGCCGGCTGCTGTTCCATTTTTCCGCCATCATTGTGACATTGAATGATTGCCGGCACTATAACGGTCGCCTTGTACGGGCCCTTGTTACACATCGCACGCATTTTGCCGACTGGTTGATTGAATAAAAGAATTACTGCCAAGGCTTATGAAAGCAGTAACAAGCATGAAGCACTCTTCGCTAAGCGAGTTATACAAAGCCCTATTTACTTAGTTATTTAGTCACTTAAGGGAGCTCGTATTAAATTAAAGAACTTACAAAGTATGTATTTGTAGACGATTGTCACTTAAATGCCGTCGTGCATTTAATGGGCTACTGCCAAATAAATAGATCCGTCACGGCTAAGAGGCCAGTGAGTTGGTCTATATATGGTATACAAGGAGCTAGATAAGTCTGTGTAAGAGTTCGTGTTGAGTAGTCAGGAGATTTTGTTGGCATTTGCTGTTGCCAAATAAATCCGACTACACCTGCCAAATGTCCAATCAATAATTCAATTTGAGGCCGTGCAACACATGTGCCGAAACATGCCACGGTGGGCATTGGCCAAAAAGATGTCTTATATTATGCATATGTGTACATCCATGTATGTGTGTGGGTATGTGATAATCTGCAAAAGATTTATAAGTTTCATTGGTTTTCAAAATAAATAGTTGTAGTATATATCTACACATATACTATGTGGAGTCGAAAGTATTGAAACTGCTCGTACGAATATTTTGAAGATAACGTCTCCAATTACAGTTATAGCGAGATTTTGTTGAATCTCAACGTTTTCATATTCATAGTTGTAAATTACTAGAAGACTATACCATGATATGAAACCGGAACGACGACTTCAAAGTTATGACTGTCAACAGTGACGTGGGAGTCAAGTCGCGAGTGAAACGACTGTTCAGTTGATAACCGGAGATATTTCATCTTTCCCTCGTTCAACAACCCATTTGCTTTGCTTCCTTATCCAGTATGGAGAAAGCAGAACTAACTGCGCGGGTGTTGAGACCAATGATATCAAAATCATCGGCGTACGCCAGCAGCTGTGCTCTCTTATTGAAGATTGTACCTTCTCCAAAAGTCACACGATTGGGAGTCTCTATGTCTGAAACCTCGTATCGAATGGCTCGGAGGGGTCCTTCCCGATCCTGATGAAGCGTTTAGTGTTTAGCAACGTCAGTTTACACAGCCGTATTAGCTTTATGGGTATACCAAGTTCAGACTTAGCGGCATACAGGCAGTTCCTTTCGTGGCGATCTTTCCTTCATTGGCCTTCTTATAATGTATATAGTATAACTAATAGTTTATAAAAGGTGTTTTTTGACGTTTGATTTTCAGTGAGAGCATACCGATTTCGGATTTTGTTTTTTCGACGGCTATTACTTGATTTATACTCAGTTTGGTTTGTCGATTAATGATTAGCAACGTT